AAGAAAGAAAGAAAGAAAGAAAGAAAGAAAGAAAGAAAGAAAGAAAGAAAGAAAGAAAGAAAGAATTTTCTTTTTCCTCCCAGCAAGAAAGTCTTAAGTCCCAGCTACATGGCAGACCCAGACATTAATTAGTTAACTGAGGCCAGCCTGGAAGTGTAGCAAGACCTTGTCACACACACACAGTCACAGGAGTCTATTACAGGAAATGCACAGGACTACACACAACAGGCGGTTAAACAGTTAGGCAGGGCGAGGACGGATAGAGCCACAGGGTGACAGAAAGAAGCAAGAAACCAATGAAACAGCATTCCAAAGGGCAACCGGCCATGTCCAGCCACAGTCCGTCCCTGAGGACACCCCGGACCTGTGGTCATCCCAAAGCTACTGTGATCCCTACAGCTCTGCTGGTGAATTAATCTGGGAATTCCCGACGCAAAGCGGAAGAGATCTTTTTTTAAAGTGGACAGGAAGGAGTTGGTGTCTTCTGAGCAGATCAATAAGTACAGAAAAACCAAAATAAATAAACACAGATTGCCCAGCCTTAAGGAGACTCCATTTCTACTTGTTAATGCGACCTCTAGTTCGGAAGGAAGAGAGGGGCTGTCTTGGAAAGCGAGCAATTTTCCTTCTAAAGGAGGAACGGCGGGACACAGCGCAACCGAATTATCTCCTGGGTTCCCTGGACCCCTAGAATGGAAACTTGGGTTGGGAAGTAGGCAGGGCTCGTACCTGCTTTCCCACAAACATCCCAGCGCACCACAGAGGCACAACAGTTCCTGAAAGGAGTCGCCTACCCTGCGCTAACCTGTTCCTTCCTGCTCCGGGGCGCCCCCACAGCTGGATTCGCGCGCTAGCCGCCCCACCGTTCCGGAGCCCTGAGTCCGCCACCGGGCTCCGTGCCAGGCCTCTCTGCATCCCCAGCAGACTGGCTCCTTCTCCGGGCCCGGATTCTAAGTTCCCGGGTCTCGGCGACAGCCCATCCCCCTCGGCAGAACGTCCGAGTCCCCGGGCCTGACACTTACTCGTTCTCCATAGTGTCACCGACCGCCGCGCCGAAATCCTGCCCTTTCCGCTCCGCGGGCGACACCGCCTGAGTCTGGTCAACACTGTTAGTGCACCGTTCTCTGAGCCCGGCTTTATACCCCGGGGCCGAGGCGCCAGCCAATGGCAGCGGCCTCGTCTCCATGGCGACACACCCTCATCCAGAGGTGTGGCAGGAAACCCCGCCAGAGTTCTTTTCAAAGGGACCCTCTCCGAGTCTAGGGCATCCAGCATGTCGTCCCCGCACGCATTCATGAGTCTCCCAGCCAGGAAAGGAGGCCTGTGTGGGAAGAGGACCAGAAGCAGGGTGGAGAGCCCCGAAAACCGCTTGTCAGCAACTCCGTTCTCCGCTGTGTTATTGTGCAAGAATGTGAAAATCGAAAAAATATGCAAGCCGTGGATTGTGCAATCCTAGAATAAAATGAAGCAAAACCATGTCTGAGTTACTTTCTGGAATAGGGAAATAAAGCCGCGCGGGTAACAGTGCTGACTTGGTGCCTACAGGATTTGGGGAAACACACAGAGGCCCAGATCGAGGTGAACTGTAGACTGCTTGGCTCCTAGGCACAGACAGGATGGTGACAGGTTGAATGGAGCAGTTCTGCTAACCCTGAGAACACTGTCAAGAAGAAAAATTCACGTAACAGAATTATGTACACACACACCCACACAGCCCAGAACTAGACAGTACAACGCCATGGTAAGCATTCGGTATTCCTTCGCCTTAACCAAACCTTACTCCAGAGCCCGTGCTTAGATCTTGAAATCCTTTATCTGCCCCTCTCCTGGGAGCTTATTTCTCCTGCTTGCTGTTTAACCACCACAGTTCAAGCCATTGTTTTCCAATCCTGTTTCGCTCATTCACTTAACCGTATTTATTGAGCCCTAACTGCGCACCGGTTTTAGTGGAATAAGAGAATAAAAATAATAGCTGGAAAGCTGGGTGAGGTGCCACACACTTTTAATCCCAGCGCTCAGGGCGGAAGCCGGGGATCTCTGTGAGTTCCCAGCCAGCCTGGGCTGCTCATAGTGAGACCCTGTCTCAATAGCAGAAGTAGCAGCATGGGAAGCAGCTGAGTGTGGCTCACTTCTGTAATCCCAGCATTGGGAAAAGCTGATGCAGGAGAATTGAAACGATTGAGGCCAGCCTGGGCCAGCCTGTGCTGTCGAGGGGGTGGGGGTGTAGGAGGGGAAAAGAACAAAGAAAGAGAAAAAAGAAAACTAGTTCAAGGAAAAACCTATATTTGATTGCTCTTTTTAATTTTTAATTGATTTACATTAATATCATCATTACTGGGCTTTTTTAAACATTAGGGCCAGGTGTGCTGGGGCACGCCTTTAATTCCAGTACTCGGGAGGCAGAGGAAGGTGGATGATCTCTGTGAGTTCGAGGCCAGCCTGGCCTCAGTGTGAGTTTCAGGACAGCCAAGACTGTAACACAGAGAAACCCTGGTAGGGAGGGGGGAGGGCGAGGGAGAGTGCTTTCCCAGCATGCATGAGGTCCTGGATTCCATTTTCAATACTGCTATGTGTGAGTGTGTAAGTGGATCCAGAATGTTGGCACTGGCTGAGTCCCAGTTACTGGAAAGACTAAGGCAAAAGAATCATGTGAGCCCAGAAGTTTGAGGCCAGCTTGGGCAACATAGGGAGAGTCAATCTCAAATAAATAAATAAAATAAATAAATAAATATCATAAATTAATACATATATATGTATATATATTTAAAATTACCAAATGGTACCTGCAGGGCACAGAGTTTGGGAACTATGGTCTCAGTCACTTGGATGTAACCTCATTCCTGAGTTTATACAATATAAATGAGTAGGCTCTGTAACCAAACTACCTATGTATGAGTTCATTCTCTACTCTTTGCCTACCAATTATGTCATGCCTCCCCAATAAAATTCCTGTGCCTAAACTGTCTCATCTGGAAAATGATTAGAGTAATTTATTTGCTACTCTTGCAAGGATCATATAAAATATGGTTAAGTGTTTTGATAAGTACCTGGCACTATAATTATAAATATAATAAACACACAGTAAATGTTGGCTGTTATTAGTTCCCATTATCTCTTTTTATCTTTTAATATCCACCTAACTTTAAATCAGATCAAAGAAAAATCAGTGGTTCATTTAGTATGTCAGCATCATCTCGGATCCCACAATACTCATAATAGCCACATGGGGTTATTAACACTTAATAAAATTATGATATTATATTCATGAGTGGTAATGCACGACATAGTTTTCCCCGTTTGAAATATTTACTCTCCCTAACAACAATAGTCTCCAATTATTGAAATTAAAATATTGTCTTAGTTTATTTTGTTGTTTAAATTATCACTTTTGTTCTTCATTTTCATGTCTCCTCTTGTGCTTCACTTAGTGCTTGAAATAACTGGGTGGACATTAAGAAGTAACCAACAGCTCTGACCCCAAGGAATGGCTCCAAAGAGGGAGAAAGACCACCTCCTAAATAAAAAGAAGAACTGGGGCTCATGAAAGACATGAAACACAAGGGAGTGAAAACCCAGAGAGGTTCCCACTCCTATCCACCCTGTCCAACCCCGACATCTGGACAAACTCACTCGGCATATTATGAAACTCATGGGTTTTTGTTTTTGTTTTAAAGATTTATTTATTATGTATACAGTGTTCTGCCTGCATGTATGTCTGCACGCCAGAAGAGGGCACCAGATCTCACTAGAGATGGTTGTGAGCCACCATGTGGTTGCTGGGAATTGAACTCAGGACCTTTGGAAGAACAAGCAGTGCTCTTAACCCCTGAGCCATCTCTCCAGCTCGAAACTCATGTTTTAAGTATTTATTTTATGCAGGTATGGTAGCACGTGCCCTTAATCCAAACACTCCAGAGGCAGAGGCAGGTGGATCTCTGTGAGGACAGCATGATCTTCATAGAATTCCAGGATGGCCAGGGCTGCACAGAGAGACTGTTTCTGAAATATATGTGTGTGTGTGTGTGTGTGTGTGTGTGTATGTATATGTATGTATGTATGTATGCATATGTGTGTGTATATATATACATATACATATACATATATATATATATATATATATATATATATATTACTCTTTAAATATATTTGTGAAAAGGGAGTGTACACCAATGCAGGTGCTTATGGAAACCAGAGGTGTTGAATCCCCTGGAGCTACAGTTACATGCATGCTGGGGGATGTCTTTCTGTATACTGCGGATATATGTTTTTCCCATTGATTAATAAATAAGTTGCTTTGGCCTATGGCAAGGCAGCTTAGAGGTAGGTGGGAAATCTGAGGAGAGAAACAGGAAGGAGAAAGGCGGAGTCTAGGGAGATGCCCAAGGAGCAACATGCCAGCAGACCAGTAAGCCACGGAACATGTGGCAAAACATAGATTAATAGAAATGAGTTAATTTAAGATGTAAGAGCTAGCTAGCAAGAGGCCTGACATAGGCCATACAGTTTGTAAATAATATTAAGCCTCTGAATGATTATTTTACAAATGGCTGTGGGTCCTCGGGGCCAGGTGGGACTGGAGAAACTTTCTGACTACACATGCAGCTGTTAGCTGCCTGATGTGGGTGCTGAGAACCAAACCTGAGTCCCTTGCAAGAGCAGTACACATTCTGTTCTTAACTACTGAGCTATCCCTCTATCGCCTCAAAAGCCTTCTTCAGTCTGGAAATGAAGTTGGTAAACCACCAACTTGGAGAAGAAGAAAAGGAGCAGAGCTCATGGCTGGAGCAGTGGCTCAGCTGTTAAGAGCACTTCTTGCTCTCGATGACGAACCAGGTTTGGTTCCTAGCAAACATATTGTTGCTCACAACCATCTGCCGGGGGATCTGGTGCCCTCTTGATCTCCTCTGGAACACACATACCTGAGAGTAAAACATTCATAAACCTAAAATAAAAGTTAAGAAATGTAAATAAAACTGGAACACTTTGAGTGATAGAAGCCAAACAAACGCTGCCCCTGCTCTGCCCAGGCAAGCCATGTGCTAGTTACCATCTGGGTGGTAATAAGAAGAAAATGTTTGTAAGCGTTTGCAGTTTCTGCCCTTGTACCTTCCTGCTAAATTCATTATTTTTTCTTTATCTTTTTCCTTTTATGAACTAATTTATATACCGAAGCCACTTTTAATCCTATATTTGAGGATGACCCCTCCCCACCCTCACTGCCACCCCAACCTCCACCCTCAAACTGACCCTAACATCTCACATGTGCTGGGCAAGCACTCTTCTACTGAACTCTATCCCCATGCCCTTTGCTTTTGGTTGTGAGACAGTTTCACTAAATTACCCATGCTGGCTTTGGACTCACTGTGAAACCCATTGGAGCCTTGAACTGCGTCTTCCTGCCTTAGCCTCTCAAGTACAGGAGGATAGTTCTTTTAAAGAATTAAGTTAAATGACATCACAAGGTGGGAGGGGCTGTTAGCTCACAGAGGTTGCTCCTATTGAGGGAATCAGCCACATTTCATGTGGTGGTTTGAATAAGAATGGAATGGCCCCCATAGGCTTTGTCAGAATGGAATACAATTGTTTTTGAAAGGATTAGAAGAATTAGGAGGCATGGCATTGTTGGAATAGGTGTGGTCTTGCTGGAGGAAGTATGTCACTGGGTGTGGGCTTTGAGGTTTCAAAAGCCCTGTCAGGCCCAGGTTCTCTCTCCTCTCCTCTGTCTCCCTCTCTCCCTCTCCCTCTCCCTCTCCCTCCCCCCTCCCCTCCCCCTCTGTTTAAAAGTCCAAAGTTTAAACTGTTTATAGACTATGGGGACTTTTGAAGTTGGAATGAATATATTTTTGTATTGTGATATGGTTAAAGCCAGGGAGTGGAATATGGTGATTTGAATAAGAACGGCCACCACAGTCTCATACATTTGAATGCTTAGTCATTAGGGAGCAACTTCTTCTCCAGCACTACACCTGCCTGCCACCATGCTCCAGGCTGCCACGTTTCCTGTCATGATAATGGACTAAGCCTTTGAAACTGTAAGCAAGACCCAATTAAATGTTTTCTAAGAGTTGCTTTGGTTATGGTGTCTCTTCACGGCAACAGAACAGTAACTAAGACACCCCATATCCCATCTAGTACCTTCCATATGTTGTTAAACTTTTAGCATGTAACAGTCCCAAGGTAGGGGGGTCAATAGGATCAACTTCCGAAATGACTGCTCCCTCTATATCCAGTCTACTACCTTCTCAAATCTGCTAAACTCAGGAATTCTTCTCTTTTACATTCAGATGCCTCA